GGCTGGGTGTATGGAATTGATGTGGTCGCGGAATTGGTCTAGAGCAGGCTGGCCATGTGGCCAGATAACAAAAGTGTCATCCACGTACCTCTTCCATAAGGTCGGGCGTAGAGTGGCAGTCTGGATGGCGTCAGTTTCAAAATTTTCCATGAATACGTTGGCTACAACCGGAGATAGAGGGGAGCCCTTTGGGGTGCCCTCAGTTTGTTTGTAGAAAGTTCCATTCCAGGTGAAGTATGTGTTGGTTAAGCAATGTCTCACCAGGGGGGGTACATCAGTATGCAATCCTTGATGAACCAGGTCTTCAATTATAGCGATGGTGTCAGGTACTGGGACTTTGGTGAACAAGGACACCACATCAAAACTGACAAGCAGGTCGTCTGGGGACAGGGAAATGCCTTTGATTGTCGATACCAGGTGAGTAGAATTTAGTACCGCAGAGGTGGTTTTTCCAGTGAAAGGTCGCAGTATATCAGCAAGAAAACGTGCCAGTTTATAGGTGGGGGAGTTGATAGTAGAGACGATGGGACGAAGGGGTGTATCTTCTTTGCGTATCTTTGGAAGGCCAAATAATCTTGGTGGTCTGGCAGCAGAGGGTTTCAACGAGAACTGTTTGGTCTGATCAATTAATGCTGTTGAATCAGAGATGATTTTGTTCGTTTTGGTAACCAGGCTGTAGTGGGATCTCTTTTTATTTTTGTATAGCTGCCATCGTTGAGTAGTTCTTGAATTTTGTTATTATATTCTGTTTTGTCCATGATGACAGTGGCATTGCCCTTGTCGGCTGAGAGGACGACAATATCATCTCTCTTTTTTAATTGAGATAATTCAAAGCGTTCATCTTTGCTGATGTTGCTAGGTGGCAACTTAGCGTTTTTGAGGGTTGCAGCTATTTCAGATCTTGCTACGTCTGCAGAGATGTGACTCAAGGCCTTGAGTGCAACGTCGACATGGGCAATGATATCATTAACCGGTATGTGTCTCGGTGTAACAGCAAAGTTTAGACCTTTAGCTAAAACGGATTTCAGACCATCAGAAATGGAACTGTTACTGCGATTAATTACTTTGTTGACGTCTATCTTTTCGGTGTGTGGATCCGATTTTTTGTTGGAGAGGTGATTGAATTTGGAAATCAAATTGTCCCTACATTTGGTCGACATAGTGGCAGCCGAAGAGGTAGTCATATTGTCTACATGTTCCCAATCCGATGTAGACATTGTTGCTGTCAATGTTAAGTGTGATTTGTAGAGTGTCTTGTCTAACTGATCGAGTTCGGTGCGTGTAAGTCTGATTTTTTCCGAGATAAGAGCGAAGCTAGTTCTAGCTAGAATTCGTTTTGCATTGAGAGAAGTTGCAGCAGCAGAGGTTAGTGTAAATGCGGTTGGTATTACCGTAGAGTCGCGGCATCTCTTCAGAAAGGTGAGAAACTCGATTAGTTGAGCCTTCTTATCCCGGAGTCTGTTGAATTATCTTAAGGTTGTGTGGAATCCCTCCCCGTAGAGGCAGTTAAATTTCGATTTAAAGCTTTCGTGACTGCAAGGATTCATCTTCTTTGGTTCTTTCGGTAAAGTCACATAGAATGAGAATAAAATAATAAATTGATAAAATAAAATAACGCAATAAAATTCTCACAACGTTTCGGCCACAACACAAGTGGCCTTCATCAGGTGAAGGGACGAGACTGTCTGGAGGACAGCGCTGGAGCGAACACAGCCAAGCTCAGACCGCGACCTTTAAGCTGTGTGAGAAGAAACAGAGCGCCATGACAAAGGAATTAGCATAGCATTTAGCATTGAAATAGCTGAGTGATTAGGTTGTGACTGGTCACAGAAATGGCTATGTTAAAGTCAAAGCATACACATCCACAGAGGCACCCCTTGACAAAGGAATTAGCATAGAATTTAGCATTGAAATAGCCGAGTGATTAGCTTGTGACTGGTCACAGAAATGGCTGTTAAAGTCAAAGCATACACATTCACAGAGGCACCTAGTACAAATCAAACAGGAGAATTTAGCATTGAAATAACTGAGGGATTAGCTTGTGACTGGTCATAGAAGTAGTTATTTTAAAGTCAAAGCCTACACATCTACAGAGGCACCTAGTACAAATCAAACAGGAGAATTTAGCATTGAAATAACTGAGTGATTAGCTTATGACTGGTCACAGAAATGGCTATGTTAAAGTCAAAGCCTACACATCTGAGCTATTAACAGTAACTGGGTATACACTACACTATATAATGAATACTATATAGTAAACCAATAAAAAACTAAAATATAAATTACCTCAATGTTATCAATAAATTCTATATATTGTCCAATCAGCTAAGCTACCAACAATAAGTCGTTATATATCACAATGCTATATGGCGAAAAAATGGGTGGATTCTTATCCTCAACTTTAGCACCACGGATAGCTACGAGCCCCGTTTAGATGGACGAGTTCATCCATGGTCGGAACGGAGGAGGGGAAGAGAGACAGCTGCGAGGCGCTGTTATACTCCATGTTGTAAACCATACCATTATGGTCACATGGCCAGCCTGTTCTAGACCAATTCCGCGACCACATCAATTCCATACACCCAGCCATCAGATTTACCATGGAGGTCGAAAAAGATGGCAAACTACCCTTTTTGGATGTCTTACTTAAAAGGAGACATGATGGTTCAATGAGCCACTGTCTACAGGAAAGCTACCCATACAGATGCTTACTTGAAACCGGATTCCCACCACCATCCATCCCAAAAGAACTCCCTCATCAAGACTCTATACCATAGAGCCCAATGCATTTCCGACCAGGAACACATTACCAGTGAACTCAAGCACGTACACCAGGCTCTCAGGGCTAATGGTTACTCCGACTACACAATCTGCAAAGCCATCACTCCAGTCATGAAGAAGGATCCTCTTGTGGAGCCACTCAAAACCATCACCTTACCCTACATTGCAGGGGTCACTAAAAAGATCTCCAAAATCCTGAATAAACACAAGATCCAGGTCCGATTCAACACAGTACATAAACTCCGTGATCTGGTTCCATCTGTAAAAGATGCTGTTCCAGACATACAGTACCCAGGCGTTACAAACTAAAGTGCCTCTGTGGTAGTAGCTACATTGGAGAAACCAAACGACATATCTCGGACCGCATCCGCGAACATAAAGGAGACTTGAAACACGGTAGAACGAACTCCTCTGCCGTGGCAGATCACTGTTATAATTCAGTGGGCTCACATGACATTGACTTCTCCAAGACGGAGGTTCTTTGCAAACCAACCGGCTACCATGAGAGATTCGTTCATGAGGTCATTCACATATATAAGCACAGAGACAATTTCAACCGAGAAGATGGATTCTGGCTTAGTAACCATTGGAAAGATGTTTTAAACCATTTCCATTCTTAATTAATTGTATTTTACGATGACCTTCAGACCGCAGCTCTTTCGCTGGCATGACTCTTAATACCTCTCACACCACGGTTAATGGTATGGTTTACAACATGGAGTATAACAGCGCCTCGCAGCTGTCTCTCTCCCCCTCCTCCGTTCCGACCATGGATGAACTCGTCCGTCTGAACGGGGCTCGTAGCTATCCGTGGTGCTAAAGTTGAGGCTAAGAATCCACCCATTTTTTCGCCATATAGCATTGTGATATATAACGACTTATTGTTGGTAGCTTAGCTGATTGGAGAATATATAGAGTTTATTGATAACATTGAGGTAATTTATATTTTAGTTTTTTATTGGTTTACTATATAGTAGTCATTATATAGTGTAGTGTATACCCAGTTACTGTTAATAGCTGATGTGTAGGCTTTGACTTTAACATAGCCATAATCACAGTTATTTCAATGCTAAATTCTCCTGTTTGATTTGTACTAGGTGCCTCTGTAGATGTGTAGGCTTTGACTTTAACATAACTATTTCTATGACCAGTCACAAGCTAATCCCTCAGTTATTTCAATGCTAAATTCTCCTGTTTGATTTGTACTAGGTGCCTCTGTGAATGTGTATGCTTTGACTTTAACATAGCCATTTCTGTGACCAGTCACAAGCTAATCACTCAGCTATTTCAATGCTAAATTCTATGCTAATTCCTTTGTCAAGGTGCTCTGTTTCTTCTCACACAGCTTAAAGGTCGCGATCTGAGCTTGGCTTTGTTCGCTCCAGCGCTGTCCTCCAGACAGTCTCGTCCCTTCACCTGATGAAGGCCGCTTGTGTTGTGGCCGAAACGTCGTGAGAATTTTGTGTTATTTTATTTTATCAATTTATTATTTTATTCTCATTCTACGTGACTTTACCGAAAGAACCAAAGAAGATGAATCCTTGCAGTCACGAAAGCTTTAAATCATTTTATTATGTTTCTATCGATGTGACTTTACTGAAAGAACCAAAGAATATGAATTCCTGCAGTCACGAAAGCTTTAAGTCAAGATTTGGATCGTTACTCTTAGTGTAACTACAGTATCCACGGTAGCTAGGAGATGTTAACTCCCTCGCCTGGTACACAGCAGGTCGTGGGTTCGATCCCGACCCTGACGCCTGCTGCTGTATATTTGGAGTTTGCGTGTCTCTCTCTCTCTCTCCTCGTGGTGGTCGCGTGGATTTTCCTCCCGGTCCTCCACATTTAGAATCAACGTCGCGCGTTCGTAGAGCATTTGGCTGCGATAAATTTCCACACGATGGTGACGAAACGCTTCATTTGAGCTATCATTTGTGACAGCCCGGGTCGCTTTTTAAAAAGAGCTACGCAGCAGTGGTGGTGGCCTTATACCTGGAATTTGTTTTCATAGTTTAGTCGAGTCACGTGCCGATTCATCAGCGGGGAAAACATTTGTTTGAACCGTTCAGCCACTGCTCACGCAAGGCTCATCGACCACCCGAGATTAAAGTCGCAGCTGCCGGACTCCGCACCAACAGCAGCCACGCGAAGAATGAGACGTATCTGTCCACTCCGTCTCGCTCATGGCCCCTCTCGATTAAACGCGCTGTCAAGAAGGAGCATAGCCCGAAAACGTAATTTTTTAATTTTGAAGGCAACGCGCACACACGCGGCGTTGGTAGCGACGCGGTGATCGCGTTTGTCCACCGCCAAACACAGTCGCCACCGCCGCCGCCGCCGCCGCCGATATAATTTGGAGGCAAGGAAGAGCGACACGGTCCAATCTTTGGCGACGAGGTTAACGGCGGACCGCGTCGACTCACCGCAGACTCGCCGCAGACTCGCCGGGCAACACCTCAAGACTCTACGGCCGGTAACGTTGGTGCACACTTGAAGCGGTCCTGGGCTTCCCCTAGGTTGATTCAGCCTCAAATAAGTACCTGGAGCAGTGTGAAGTAAACAACATCACCACTGAAGGCGGCCCCACGCGTGGTGCTGCCCAACCACCCCTCTCTGGTGCCGTTCTGGACTAATTGCCCCACGAGTCTGTAAAGGCTACACGGGGGATCTTTGTCTTGGTTATGCTCCCGCAAACCCCGAGGAATTATCAATCCTCACCCAGGAACCTAAAAAATGGAATTGCGAAAGTTCACCGTGACCATGAGCTGACCTCGACTATAATATGACCCTGACTATAATGACCCCGACTATAAGTTGACCCCGACTATAAGTTGACCCCGACTATAATATGACCCCGACTATAAGTTGACCCCGACTATAATATGACCCCGACTATAAGTTGAGCCTGACCAATACAATTTCAGCTTTGATTGTGAACCGAAGGTGCATCCTGAGCTTCCAGCGCTGTCCACCCAGCGGTGGATACGGCTTCACCGCGCTCGAGTCGATCGGCGGGTCGCGCACGCGGTGGACGAAAGCATGGGCGACTCCCCCGAGACGTGCCGGCCAGCGTGGAGGAGTAGGCCAAGAACAACCCTCTGGTCAGGAGGGGTTCTCCCTCGAGCGGAGGGGCCCCCTTTCCGGCCAGCAGTGGCACGGGCGACATTCCGCCGTGGGGCCGCGCCTTTCGCTTTCTTACCCCATCCCGGACGCGATCCGCCGACCCCCTCTAGGCGAGACTCTCCGCAGTCGTGGCACGAGCGCTTTGTAACAACAACGAAATGACAAAACATTCCCGGACAAGAGCCACGACTGCCGCCCTCCCCTAGCGACGAGAAACGTCGCTTAGCACCAAGCGGCCCTGGCGAGGCTTCCCCTAACGCAGCATCTTCCCCCCGCGCATCCGAGCCGGCGCTGCTCAGGTGGAGCCGGCGTTGTTTAACCAACGCAAGAAACCGTGCCGGGCCGTGCCGGGCCGTGCCGGGCCGTGCCGGGCCGTGCCATGCCGCAGACGGCACGGGCGCGCGGCGAACGAGACGCGCGCCCGTGACGCGGTCGGTACCGCGGTGACGCCGTGACGGTGCGCTCACCGCGTCGCCCGCACGGCCAACGCGTCGCTATCCCTGCCCCCTGGCCCTGCTTGTCCCCCAACACAGACTGATGGAGTATTGCGGTTTGGCTCCGGCTCGGCTCGGATGGTGCCAATGGAAAAGCGGTGTTGGAGCAGGAGGAGGGGGGGGAGGAGGAGGAGAAGGGGGGAGGTCACTTGGGTGAATAAAGTTTTGGTTTGAGAGCGGTTCTTTGGTTTTCTGTGCGAACTCGCGAACGGTGTCTGGAGCACGTTGACGCTCGTGCCGGGGGCCGGGGGAGGTGAAGATTCCCAGCCCCCCCCCCCTCCCTCCCCCACGTTGAGGGGAGAGAGAGAGAGGAGACACGCTGGGAGGGCGCCATCCAGCAGCGGAGGGGGGCACGCTAGTCGCCTGCCGCTGTCCCGTGGCCACCTATGTGGCCTCCGCGTAGAATGCGTCCACCACCTCCTGGTAGAGCCTCAGCACCACCGGCCGCTTGAGCTTCATGGTGGGGCCTGTGGGGCAGAGGGGCGGGCAGTCAGGACTCACCCACCCACCCGCTCACCCACCCACCCACCCGCTCACCCACCCACCCACTCACCCACCCACCCACTCGCTCACCCACCCACTTACCCACTCACCCACTCATCACTCACCCACCCACTCGCTCACCCACCCACTTACCCACTCACCACCCACCCACTCACCCACCCACCCACTCACCCACTCGCTCACCCACCCACCCACCCACTCGCTCACCCACCCACTTACCCACTCACCCACTCATCACCCACTCACCCACCCACCAACTCATCTACTGACTCACCCACCCACTGACCTACTCACTTGCTCATAAACCAGGGGCGGTGCAGGCAGCAGCGGGGGTTGGCGGATCACCGCACGAATATTGTGAAGCAAACTCCCTACCCCGTGGGCGTCGAGGAGGAGCCATACCCTGGCTCGCTGGGTGAAGGCGGCACAGCAAAGTGCGGACTAATCTTCATCTGTCCCGTCTGAATGGGATATAGTATTGCCCCCTTGCATGCACAAATTTTCTCCGGGTGTTCTAGTTTCCTCCCACGCCTATAAAGAGCTCGTTGTCGGAAAACATCTCCATATGTAGGGAGCCGCAGAGCTTGAGTGAGCGTTGGTAGCAGCGGCTCACCGTGTGGCTGACCTTCCTCCTCGTGCCTCTCACTTCGAGGGTGAGCGACTGCCGTGTGGTGGCCGTGTGGTGGCCGTGTGGTGCAAGTGTGAATTGTTGTTATTATTACTGTTAGGTGGCTCAGACGTCACGGACACTTTGTGGGTCAGTGAGTGGGTGGGTGAGTGGGTGGGTGAGTGGGTGGGTGAGTGAGTGGGTGGGTGGGTGGGTGAGTGGGTGGGTGGGTGAGTGGGTGGGTGGGTGAGTGGGTGGGTGAGTGGGTGGGTAAGTGGGTGGGTGAGTGGGTGGGTGAGTGGGTGGGTGGGTGAGTGAGTGGGTGAGTGGGTGGGTGGGTGAGTGGGTGGGTGAGTGGGTGGGTGGGTGAGTGAGTGGGTGGGTGAGTGGGTGGGTGAGTGAGTGGGTGAATGGGTGGGTGAGTGGGTGGGTGAGTGGGTGGGTGAGTGAGTGGGTGAGTGAGTGGGTGAGTGGGTGAATGGGTGGGTGGGTGAGTGGGTGAATGGGTGGGTGGGTGAGTGGGTGGGTGAGTGGGTGGGTGAGTGGGTGGGTGGGTGGGTGAGTGGGTGAGTGGGTGGGTGAGTGGGTGGGTGGGTGGGTGAGTGGGTGGGCGAGTGGGTGAGTGGGTGGGCGAGTGGGTGGGTGGGTGGGTGAGTGAGTGGGTGGGTGAGTGAATGGATGGAAAAGCCGGGAGAGAGCAGGAGAAGTGAGCGAGAGGGGTAGAGGTGAGGGAGAGGCGAGGGGAGGGTCGCCCCGCTCACCGAGTTCCCCCCCGGAGACAGTGAAGTCGTGAGGGATGACGGCCCACTTCTGCACGCGCTGGGCGTTGGAGATGGCGGCGCGGTTGACACGCTCTATCCCCTGCTGGATGGCGGCCAGCACTGCCGCGTCACCGGCACTGCCACGGCCACCCAGCTCGGGTGCCACCTGCACGACCGCGGGAACATCGTCACCATCATCAACATCATCATCAACATCATCAACATCGTCAACATCATCAACATCGTCAACATCGTCAACACCATCAACATCATCAACATCATCAACACCATCAACATCATCATCATCAACAACATCATCAACAACATCGCCAACATCAACAACATCATCAACATCATCAACATCGTCAACATCGTCAACATCATCAACATCATCACCATCGTCACCATCGTCACCATCGTCAACATCGTCACCATCATCAACATCGTCAACATCGTCACCATCATCAACATCATCAACATCATCATCAACATCGTCAACATCGTCACCATCATCAACATCGTCACCATCATCAACATCATCAACATCATCATCAACATCGTCAACATCGTCACTATCATCAACATCGTCACCATCATCAACATCATCAACATCGACATCATCAACATCATCAACATCATCATCATCAACATCATCAACATCGTCACCATCATCAACATCATCAACATCGTCAACATCATCAACATCGTCACCATCGTCACCATCATCAACATCGTCACTATCATCAACATCATCAACAACATCGCCATCATCAACATCATCAACATCGTCACTATCATCAACATCATCAACAACATCGCCATCATCAACATCATCACCATCATCAACATCATCACCATCATCAACATCAACATCGTCACCATCATCAACATCATCAACATCATCACCATCATCAACATCATCAACATCATCACCATCATCAACATCATCAACATCGTCAACATCATCAACATCATCACCATCATCAACATCGTCACCATCATCAACATCATCACCATCATCAACATCATCGACATCATCAACATCATCACCATCATCAACATCGTCAACATCATCAACATCATCAACATCATCAACATCGTCAACATCATCAACAACATCGCCATCATCAACATCATCGCCATCGTCACCATCATCAACAACATCGCCATCATCGACACCATCGACATCGTCACCATCATCAACATCATCGACATCGTCAACATCATCGACATCATCGACACCGTCGACATCGTCACCATCATCAACATCATCAACAACATCGCCATCATCAACAACATCGCCATCGTCACCATCATCACCATCATCAACATCGTCAACATCGTCACCATCATCACCATCATCAACATCGTCACCATCATCAACATCATCACCATCGTCAACATCATCACCATCAACAACATCATCACCATCATCACCATCATCAACATCATCACCATCATCAACATCATCACCATCATCAACATCATCAACATCGTCACCATCGTCACCATCATCAACATCATCACCATCATCACCATCATCGCCATCATCGACATCGTCACCATCATCAACATCGTCACCATCATCGACATCATCACCATCATCACCATCATCAACATCATCACCATCATCAACATCGTCAACATCGTCACCATCGTCGACATCATCGACATCATCAACATCATCAACATCTTGATTTAAAGCTTTCGTGACTGCAGTAATTCATATTCTTAGTTTTTTCGGTAAAGTCACGTTGAAGAGAAACAACAAAATAACAAAATATATATAAAACAATAAAAAATTCTCACGACGTTTCGACCATAACTCAAACGGTCATCATCAGGTGTGTCGGTTTGCATTAATTTATTTTGAAAACGGCATATTTATTTATATATATAAAAATAACGTTTGCGTCACGCGCAACGATTGGCTGTTTGCCAGGACTAGTCCATCTATTTTTTGAAAAGAGGAGGGGGGAGACGAAATTTGTTTTTATGTATGCTGTCTGAAAGCCACTGTAAGCGTGAACAATCAATCAAGAACTGAAATGATTTATCAAATCTTTCCAATGATTGCTAAGATAGAATCCATCTTCTCGGTTGAAATTGTCTCTGTGTTTGTATATGTGGATAGCCTCATGAACGAATCTCTCATGGAAGCCAGATGGCTTACAAAGAACCTCCGTCTTGGAAAAGTCAATGGCATGTGAGCCTACTGAATTAGAACAATGATCTGCTACGGCCGAGGTGTTGGTCCTACCGTGTTTAAGGTCTGCTTTATGTTCACGAATGCGGTCCGAGATATGGCGTTTGGTTTCTCCAATGTAACTACTACCACAGAGGCAACTTAGTTTGTAGACACCAGGGTATTGTATGTCCGGAATCACATCTTTTACAGACGGAACCAGATCACGGATTTTATGTAATGTGTTGAAACGGACCTGGATCTTGTGTTTATTCAAGATTTTGGAGATCTTTTTTGTGATCCCAGCAATGTAGGGTAAAGTGATGGTTTTGAAAGGCTCCTCAAGAGGGTTTTTCTTCATGGTTTGAGTGATAGCTTTGCGGATTGTATAGTCGGAGTAACCAGATTCCCACCACCATCCATCACAGAAGAATTCTCTCATCAAGACTCTGTATCATAGAGCCCAATGCATATCCGACCAGGAACACATAAGCAGTGAACTCAAGCACGTACACCAAGCTCTTAGGGCTAATGGTTACTCCGACTATACAATCCGCAAAGCTATCACTCAAACCATGAAGAAAAACCCTCTTGAGGAGCCTTTCAAAACCATCACTTTACCCTACATTGCTGGGATCACAAAAAAGATCTCCAAAATCTTGAATAAACACAAGATCCAGGTCCGTTTCAACACATTACATAAAATCCGTGATCTGGTTCCGTCTGTAAAAGATGTGATTCCGGACATACAATACCCTGGTGTCTACAAACTAAGTTGCCTCTGTGGTAGTAGTTACATTGGAGAAACCAAACGCCATATCTCGGACCGCATTCGTGAACATAAAGCAGACCTTAAACACGGTAGGACCAACACCTCGGCCGTAGCAGATCATTGTTCTAATTCAGTAGGCTCACATGCCATTGACTTTTCCAAGACGGAGGTTCTTTGTAAGCCATCTGGCTTCCATGAGAGATTCGTTCATGAGGCTATCCACATATACAAACACAGAGACAATTTCAACCGAGAAGATGGATTCTATCTTAGCAATCATTGGAAAGATTTGATAAATCATTTCAGTTCTTGATTGATTGTTCACGCTTACAGTGGCTTTCAGACAGCATACATAAAAACAAATTTCGTCTCCCCCCTCCTCTTTTCAAAAAATAGATGGACTAGTCCTGGCAAACAGCCAATCGTTGCGCGTGACGCAAACGTTATTTTTATATATATAAATAAATATGCCGTTTTCAAAATAAATTTATGCAAACCGACACACCTGATGATGACCGTTTGAGTTATGGTCGAAACGTCGTGAGAATTTTTTATTGTTTTATATATATTTTGTTATTTTGTTGTTTCTCTTCAACGTGACTTTACGGAAAAAACTAAGAATATCATCAACATCATCAACATCGTCACCATCATCAACATCGTCACCATCATCGACAACATCATCGACATCGTCACCATCATCAACATCATCAACATCATCGCCATCATCAACATCGTCACCATCATCGACAACATCGCCATCATTGACATCACCATCATCAACATCATCGACATCGTCGCCATCATCAACATCGTCACCATCATCGACAACATCGCCATCATCGACATCATCACCATCATCAACATCATCGACATTGTCGCCATCATCAACATCATCGCCATCATCGCCATCATCAACATCATCGACATCGTCACCATCATCAACATCATCAACATCGTCACCATCATCAACATCATCGACATCACCCTTGTCATCGACATCTTCACCATCATCGACATCATCATCGCCACCATCCTTGTCATCGACATCGTCACCATCATCAACATCATCGACATCATCATCGCCACCATCCTTGTCAAAGATATCGTCACCATCATCAACATCATCGTCGCCACCATCCTTGTCAAAGATATCGTCGCCATCATCTCCACCACCGGCGCCACCCACAGGGGTGAGGCCCACGGCTCGAGATCGCCACCTCGTGGCTGCCACCCACAGCGACTCTCAGACTCAGAGCCAGGCACGACCCCCCAGCACCCCCCCCCCCCGTGCCCCCCCGTGCCCCACCCCCCGTGCCCCCACCCCCCGTGCCCCCACCCCCCGTGCCCCCACCCCCCGTGCCCCCACCCCCGTGCCCCCACCCCCCGGTGCCCCCACCTGCGAGGCGAGGGTGGCGCTGCTCCCCGCCGAGCGGCAGAACCGCACGGCCTCGGGGCTCAGCTGGTCCCCCGGCTCTCCCGTGTCGGGGTCCGCCGAGCACTGCACCACGCACAGACAAAGGTCCCCCGTGTAGCCCACAGCGGCCTGCCGGCACGACCCTCGTCGTCGCCCCGGGCCCGCCTCCGTCTCCCCGGTGCCGACGCACCGGGCACGGGCACCCGTCGAAGGCCGGCTCGGCCTCGGGGAGGCCCCAGGATCGCTTCAAGCAATCGTCGCTGGCGTCGGCCGCGAGCGGGAATCGACCTCGGGCTTGCCGGTTCCTGGCGCTTTGCGCTAACCGCTGTGCCGCCGCTCCGCCCTCCGCAACGCGCGAACGCGGCAACGACGTCGCCACGGCGCTTCGTGCCAGGCCAGGTGCACTTCGCGTGAGGCGCGGCTGCCCAAAGGGAGCTCCGGTCGCAGGCACACTGCCCAGGTGGCACGAGGCTTCTCCACTCCCTCCACTACCGCCCCGTCGCTCATGGGGAGTCGAGGCAGGGGGGAATGTTCATGACCACAAATACCCAGGCAGGCGCTTTGCTTTTTGTGGGACCGGTGGGTAAGGCCCCGTGGCTCTTAGCTGCAACCCTTCAGGGTCAGCGGTTGCATCTACGACTTCTTCTCAGAGTGCGCAGCAGTCAGCAGAGAATCCGCAGACAACAAAAACCACGTTCTTCCCGGTAACCTTAACGGTCTGTCGGGGCAAGTGCTGTCAGCGAGCACCTATCAAGGCCGGCACGGTACGCATGGGGGCGGGTGGCCAGCACCACGCCCGACCGCCTTTTTCTCCCGAGTGGCGATGTTTACACACCGCACCAGGTACTCATTTGAAGCTGAGTCGACCTAGGGGAGCCTCAGGACCGGTTCAGATAATCGTCACCGATGTTGGCCGTGAGCGGGAATCGAACTCGGGACGCCGGGTTCGTAGTGCGAACCGCTGCACAACCGCTCCTCGATCCACACACACACAGACAATCGACACACACACACAGACAATCGACACACACACACAGACAATCGACACACACGCACACATACACAGACAATCGACACAGACAATCGACGCACACATACACAGACAATCGACACACACACACAGACAACCGACACAACAACAACAACCGCCATTCGCCACTAAGTGGCGGTGACGTCACCACGACGCTTGTGCCAGGCCATGTGCACATTGAGGCCACGTGGAGTGTCGAACGCCCGCTGGCAGAAGGTAACGGGGCAGACCCTGGTGCCACAGGTCGACTGACTGAGATGACTGGCTGATGCACCACCTGTGCCCCCTACTGTGCCAACCTGCTGTGCTTTAGCCACCCGGCGCTCCGCTCGTTGTTGTGAGCGTCGCTCCTCTGCCCTCCGTTGTTGTTGGAGGGCGACTGCCTCCAACTGCCCAGTAGCGTCCTTCACGAGCCTCCTCCACAGAGGCCGATCTTGACACCGCTGGTACCAATCATCGGCAAGTCCACTCCGCTCCACGTCCTCCTGTACCACATCACTCCATCTCTTCTCTAGCCCGTGCCGCGCCCGTTTAGCCCCCTCGATCCGGCCGAACAAAAGCTTTTTCGGCATGTGGTGGTTGGGCATGCGGGCTACATGACCCAGCCAACGCAGCCTTGCCTGCCGGAGGAGCTCACCGATGGGACCGTGCCCAGATCTTTCAAGGATTTGTGAGCTCCTCACACAATCCAGCCTGGTTAAACCCAGGATGGATCGTAGGCAGGCCAGCCTAAATGTTTCTAACCGGCGAAGATTTCCATTAGGGGGGTCCACGTTTCGCAAGCGTCGAGAAGGGAGGGAATGACCGTGGCCGAGAAGACCTGAAGCTTAGTGCGGAGCGACAGACCAGATAGCTTCCACACAGCATTACGCAACCGATGAAAAGATATTGCCACTCGACTGATTCGGAGTGAAACCTCTGCTGTTAAACTGGAGCCGGTCATAAGCACACTGCCCAGGTATGGGAAACTCTCCACTCTCTCCACAACTTCCCCATCACCGATTGGGAGTTGTGGGGATGGAGTGTCCGATGGTACAAAATACCCAGGCAGGTGCTTAGTTTTGGTGGGGCTGATGGTAAGGCCGCATCTCTTAGTAGCACGCTCCAGTCTCAACAGCAGCGTCTCCAACTCCTCCTCTGAATGAGCAGCTATTACCAAATCATCAGCATAAATAACGTGGTTGAGCAATAGGGAGCCATCCCTTGACCGCACCTGGGCATCGATCAGCCTCCCATTATATCTGTACCATATGGAGATTCCCCCGGTACAGCTATTGAAGGCTTCACGAACTACGTGGTCAAAATAGATGTTAAATAATGTGGGAGCCAGAGGACATCCCTGTCGCACGCCAAGGTGTACAGGGAATGGCTCTGACTCCCGGCCACGTAGTTTTACCCGGGACCGCTCACCATCATGAAGGTCCTTAATGATCGTGAGTAGATGGTCAGGTACTCAAAAAGCACGAAGAACAACCCAGAGCCCAGGCCTACTGATGGTATCATATTCCTTGACCAGGTCAATATAGCAGAGATGTAGGTCTTACTGTAATTCCCTACACCTCTGCTGTAGCAGACGGACAGAAAATATGGCATCCGTGCAGGACCGCCCTTGCCTGAAACCGCATTGGGGCTCCGCAAGCCTCTCCTCAGCGTGCCTAACAAGGCGATGTTGAATAATCTTTGCCAGGACCTTTCCCGGCACACTGAGGAGTGAGATGCCCCTGTAGTTGTTACAGTCTGTGCGGTCCCCCTTCTTAAAGAGGGGGACCACCAGGGCATCCTTCCAATCCTGCGGAACCTGTCCAGTGGTCCAGACTGTTGTTATGATGTCATATAGGGCAGTATGTGCACAAACGCCACCCTCCCTCAGCATTTCGCTTGGGAGATCATCTCAGCCCGCTGCCTTTCCCGGTCTCAGACTCCAGATCACCTTCAGTACTTCCTCAACAGATGGCACCTCAGCCAGCCACTCACAGGGGGTGACTTCTTCCAATATTTGAGGCACCGCAGCCTCAGCAGGGTCATCCTCACTTTGTGCCACGATGTTTTCCTGGCTGAGGGATTTCCCCTCCCCCAGGACCTCACAGAAATGCTCAGCAAATCTGCAAACCTGTTCCTGGGGGGTCGGAGATTGGATCACCGATTTTCCCCTAATGATGGTAATAGGTGTGGCGCTGCAGGTTACTTTTTTGATGGAGTTAAATAGAGATTTGTGATCACGGGCCACTGAGGCAGACTTCATCTCCTGAGCAAACCGCGACCACCACCCATCCTTGCAGCGCCTCACGGCTCTCCGAACCTCCGAGCGAGGCTGCGGTAAGCCTCCTCATTCTCTGATGTGGGATTCTGTAGCCGATGACAGTGGGCCTGTCACTTTTTCTCAACCATCCTGAACACCTCCTCTGTCAGCCAGGGTCTCTGGGGAGGTCTTGACCGTGTACCCAAAGCAGCCATTGCAGCTGCATGAGTCACAGTCCTAAACCTCGCCCATTTACCCTCGACATCAGGAGGAGTGGGGGACGATGCCAACCCCAGCCGCAAGCGATGATGAAATTCTCGCTTGCAACTTTCATCAGATAACTGAGACCAGGCCACTTTAGGTTGGAATGGGGTCCTGGGTGTACACCCACCGCCGGAGTGGAAGAATGGCAGGCGCATCTTACAGATGATTAGTCGATGGTCAGAGGGCAGATCAGCTCCACGGTAGGTCCCGGTGTCAAGGGACATGGGCTCGCATCCGCTGGTCCGTCACTATGTAGTCTAGCAGATGTTCTTGCTTGGACCCGGCATGCATCCATGATGTTGTGTGGATGCGCCGATGCCGGAACAGCGTGTTGGTAATTACAAGCCCATGGGCTGCACAAAAATCTAGCATCCTCCTACCGTTGTTATTGAGCTGATCTGGCCCATGCCCTCCAATCACTCCAGACCAGGTGTCAGCATCATGACCAACTCGGGCATTGAAGTCACCCAACAAGATGAGTCTATCCCGAGGGGCCACTTTAGCCAGCACCTGTGACAGGAGGTCATAGAAGGCATCTGACTCATCGGCTTTGCCTGCATCCCTCCACGGATGTTCGTCTTCGGTGGGGGCATAAGTAACCACGACCACCACTTCTCACCTCCGGTTGATGGGAAGGCGAGCCCAAAGTAGCCTGGGGCTTACAGGTTCCCACACCTCACCGCCACGCTCCCACGCCCCCTTCATTCTTTTGTTCAAAAGAAGAGCCACACCCTGTTGTTTGGCAGTCTGCTGCCCCAGAAGAGGACTGTCCACCCCTCATGGTGACAGGAGCCAGAACCGGTCCACCGGACCTCCTGAATGCCACAGAGATCCAGGCGGTACCGGTCCAGCTGCCGACAGAGGAGTGGCAGCCTCTCCTCCGCAGTGAGCGTTCGAACATTCCACGTGGCCATCCGTAATGGCTTTTCGTTGTTTCTGGAGGAGCCCCGAGGGTAGAGATTCAATCTCCTGGCTCCGCCAATTGGGGTTTGGCCAGGAGACGTCATAGACGCCTGTCCCCCCGGGGCCTCCGGCACAAGCTTATTAGTTAAATTTTGTATTCGTAGTTTAGTGGTAATTAATTGAAGGTGGAGGGGTTACCAGCCCCTCGCACCCGTCCAGAGCCCCGACACACACGCACACACACAAAGACAATCGACACATACACAGACAATCGACACACACACACACACACAGACAACCGACACACACGCAAACACACACAGACAATTGACACACACATGCAGACAATCGACACACACGCACACACACACAGACAATGACACACATGTACGCACACACACAAAAAACAAAGATCCCCCATATAGCCTTAACAGACTGTAGGGGCAAGTGCTGTTAGCGAGCACCTATGAAGGCCGGAACGGTACACGAGGGGGTGGGTGGCCAGCACCACGCCCGACCGCCTTTGTCACCCTAGTGACAATGTTTACACATCGCACCAGGTACTCATTTGAGGCTGAGTCGACCTAGGGGAGGCCCGGGACCGGTTCAGATAATCGTCACTGGTGTTGGCCGTGAGCGGGAATCGAACCCGGGTCGCCAGGTTCATAGCGCAGCGCACTAACCGCTACACTATCGCTCCCCACTGAAACACACACACAGAAACACACACGCAGAAACACACACACGCAGAAACACACACACGCAGAAACACACACACACGCAGAAACACACACACACGCAGAAACACACACACACGCAGAAACACACACACAGAAACACATCCGTGTGTGCGTCCATCCCCCCCGCGCCCTGCCCCCACCTTGAGCGTGAGCAGCATGGAGAGGAACTTTCGCTTATCTCCGATCACCATGGCGAAGGAGACGATCGGCAGCGCCTCCTTCACCGCATCCTCAATGGGCACGGGCGCCACGTTCTCGCCACCCGCCGTGATGATGAGCTCTGCCGTGACGAGGTGATGGACGGGGAGAGGAGGAGGAGGAGGGGAGGAGGACATCCGACTCGTCAACACAAACGGCATCGAACACCTTTTAGCTCCTCTTGACCGCACCTCCGATTAGCACGGTTGGCTACGTACGGCGTGAAAGAAGTTCAACATACATACATACAAACCAGCCAATGGCATCGCAGCGACGCCCACGAACGAGCCATTGGGATCGCAGCAACGCTCGCGAACGGGCCAATGGGACCGCAGCGACGCTTGCGAACGAGCCAATGGGATCGTAGCGACGCCCGCGAACGAGCCAATGGGATCGCAGCGACGCCCGCACACGAGCCAAGTGGGATCGCAGCGACACCCGCGATTGAGCCAATGAGATCGCAGCGACGCCCGCGAAGCAGCGAATGGTATCGCAGCGAAGTACGGGCAAGCGGGGCGGTGCGGGGGGGGGGGTGGAGGGCGGCACCTTTGAGGCGGCCGGTGATGAAGACGAAGCCTTCCTCGTCGATCCGGCCCAGGTCACCCGAGTGGAGCCAGCCTTCGGGGTCCAGGGCGTCGTGCGTCATCGCCTCAAGGCCCAGGTAGCCCATGAAGACGTTCCGCCCCCAGAAGCAGAGCTCGCCGCACCCCTCCGCGTCCGGCAAGGCGAGCCGCGTGCGGCAGCCGAACATTGACTTGCCGCAGCTACACGGGCGGAGACGAGGCGGAGTGGGGTGGGGGGTGGTAGGAGAGGAGACGTGGGGGAGATGGAGGAGACACGGTAGGAGACACGGGGAGACGTGGAGAGACACAGTAAGACACGCGGGAAGGAATAAGAGACACTTGGAGACATGGCTCTGCCGGGAGAAGGTGCTACAGCAATGATGTGGACTCTGCCTGTTCAGTCTGCGCGGGGATATAGCGTTGCCCCCTTGCATGCATGGGTTTTCTCCGGGTGCTCCGGTTTCCTCCCACGCGAATACACTCATCATATACTGGCCGACACCACCGTGACATACAGAAGACTGCAGAACTGGGGCAGTTGTTGCCACCTGCCTGCGGTTCCATCTCCTGGCACCTCCCAGGCCGACTCAGAAGTGCAAGGAGGTGGTACCCCGGTGGCCTCGTCACGTTGGGCGATGCCGAGTCACGGGGCTCCGCCGTGAGCACGCGAGGTTGTCCGCGCGTTTGTGGTGAGACACGCAGAGCAAAGTGAAACGCAATACAGGGACTCCTCTGCTTACGGATATTCAACTTACGAACTTTCAGAGATACGAACAAACCTGGTCCGTATGTCCAGTCGCCTGTTCGGACCGAGAGTCGTAAGTTCAACCGCGACGAAATACATGGCGGTGGTGGCATCTACATCTGCAGAACGTGAAGAACCAGTGGGATCTACATCTACTGAACATGAAAAACCAGTGGCATCTACATCTGCAGAACATAAAGAACCAGTGGCATCTACATCTATAGAACATGAAGAACCAGTGGCATCTACATCAACAGAACATGAAGAACCAGTGGCATCTACATCAACAGAACATGAAGAACCAGTGGCATCTACATCTGCAGAACATGAAGAACCAGTGGAATCTATATCTGCAGGAGATTATACAACTTTTAAACCCATTCCCCGTATTTAGTGTACACGCCGTACAAAGTGTTTGGAATTGACAGGAGTAAAGTTGGACTTAAGAACAAATAGACTTACGAACAGACCTCTGGAATCTAACTCGTTCGTAAGTGTCAATGGCTTTTCACTACGCAGAAAGCGCAAGGGGGTGTGCGTGCACAACGGGATCACGCACGCCGTGGTGAATGGTCTAATTACACTGTGTAACAGTTTTATATATTTTTTTTGGTTCCTGGGTAGTGTTATTTCCTAATTGCTTATGCCTCAAAAGTACAGAAAATCGCTATTCCCCACAAACTTTGCTTTTGTGACCAGGACAGTAATATTTAGAAATTTACCTATTTCCAGAACATTCCAGATAGATTCAGTGCTGAGTAAACTTGGAGTAACTTCTAGAACATTCTAGACCTTTCCAGTAATATAAATAGTATAAATACAGGGGCCTTAAGCCCACCAGTTCAGTTTAGTTCCAGCTGCCTAAGTGGACACATATCTGAATTTTTCTGAGATGGCATCAAGAGGCTGCAGCAAGAAATCCGGCAGACGCATTTTGCGATGTCTGCGGCCAAATTATCAAGACAAGAGCGAAAGAGTACTCTGTGGAAGCATCTGTTAAGATGTGTGAGGCCTACAAGGGATATTTCAGCATGCCTGTCGGGGATCAAGACAAACCCTGGCCACCTCATTTCACCTGCGAGCAATACAAAAAAACTCTGGAAGGTAAGATGGACAATTGTTGCTCAGAATTTTTTATGTTATAAAATGTTAACATTTTTTAAATTGTTGAAGTTTTTCATTTTAAAATGTTTTACAATTTTCAATGTTATTGAAAAAATATATATCATATATGAAAAATGTTGCGAAAATCTCTTACACATATATTTCACCCATGATTAATGCGTAAGAGATTCTCGCAACATTTTCCATAGGATGGTACAGAGGGGAAAAGAGAGCCATGAAGTTCGCTATCCCAAGAATTTGGCGGGAACCCACTGACCACTCAAGCAACTGCTACTGCTGCATGGTGGACCCTACCAAACGTCGGACTGGCAAGAATGCACCTGCTATCACGTATCCGGACCTTCCTTCATCCATCACCCCGGTGCCACACTGCCATGAGCTCCCCGTACCCACTCCTCCGGAGAGAGAGCAGCCGTCTTTAGAAGAGAGCAGCAAGTCAGAGAGCGAGGAAGACGTTGCATATCCAGATGACAATTTCAGAGGTGGAGCTGAGGAGAGAAACCCATACTACCCCAACCAAAAAGACCTCAACGACTTAATCAGAGATCTTGGTCTCACCAATCCAATGCCAAGCTGTTGATGTCTAGGCTCAAGCAGTGGAACTTGTTGAATAAAAGTGTGCAAGTCGCAGATTAGAGGAAGCGTCACCAACCTTTTTTGCAGCTTCTTCACCCGTCAAGATGGGCTCTGCTTCTGCCACAATGTGACCAGTCTGTTCGAGGCAATCGGAATCGCCTGTAATCATTGACAGCTCATCCAGGAGCCTCAAAGCCGTGCTGCTCCATAATGGTAACAAGTACCCGTCTCTTCCCCTGGCTCACTCGGTGCACCTCAAAGGGGATTACAACAGCATCAAGACCTTGCTGGACACCTTGAAGTATGGTGAGTACGGCTGGGAGGTCATTTGAGACTTCCAAATGGTGGCATTCCTGATGGGTCTCCAAGGCGGTTTAACCAAGTTTCCCTGCTATCTTTGCCTTTGGGACAGCAGGGACACCAAGGCGCACTACCACAGGCGGGACTGGCCACAGTGGACCGAGTTCTGTGTAGGGAGGAACAACGTCAAGTGGGAGCCACTGGTGGATCCCCGGAAGGTGCTGATGCCACCACCGCACATCAAATTGGACCTTATGAAACAATTTGTCAGAGCTGTAGATAAGGAGTCAGCAGCCTTCAAGTACCTTCAAGACTTCTTCCCCTAGCTGTCTGAGGCAAAGGTCAAAGCCGGTGTCTTCATCGGACCACAGATAAAGAAGATCCTGGAGTGCAATTAATTCCCCAAGAAGCTCACTAGTAAGGAGAAAGCGGCTTGGAAAAGCTTTGTCGCAGTGGTTGGTGGCTTCCTGGGCAATCACAAAGTCGAAAACTACGTGGAGCTGGTTGAGACTCTGGTGAAGAACTATAGCACAATGGGCTGTAGGATGTCCCTCAAAGTCCATATCCTTGATGCTCATCTTGATAAATTCAAGAACATGGGAGCGTACTCGGAGGAGCAAGGCGAGCACTTCCACCAGGATAAACAGGACTTTGAACGCCGCTACCAAGGACAGTATAACGAGAACATGATGGGAGACTACATTTGGGGGCTGATTCGTGAAAGTGATTTAGTATAATCGTAAATCTCAAAAAACTACTCACTTCTAAATCTTTTGTAGTAATTTTTGTATTACTTTAGTATAAATACATGTTGATTTTCATTGTATTACTTTAGTATAAATACATGTTGATGTTTTTTTCTGACTTTATGTGAACGAAAAGACACAAATTCGCCCATTTTCTCATTGAAAATATGTACATTTCAAATATCACTGTCCCGGTCACAAAAGCAAAGTTTGTGGAGTATAATAGCCATTTTTTTATACTTTTTAGGCATAAGCAATTAGTAAATAACACTTACTACCCAGGAACAAAAATTGTGTTACATAGTGTTATCATTGTGTTGCTGCTTTCTGTGTGTGTGTACCTGTCTGTGTGTGTGTGTAGGGGGCGGTCGTGTAGCGGTTAGCGGTTAGCGGCAACCCGAGTTTGATTCCTCGCTAGGGCTCCCCTAGGTTGACTCAGCCTCAAATTGAGTACCTGGTGCGGTCTGTAAAATACATCGCCACTGGGGAGGCAAAGGCGGTCGGGCGTGGTGCTGGCCACCCTCCCCCTCGTGTGCCGTGCCGGCCTTCATTCGGTGCTCGCTAACAGCACTTGCCCCAACAGTCTGTTAAGGCTATAAGGGGGATCTTTGTAGGGAGCGGTGCGCTACAAACCCGGCGACCCCCTCACGACCAACAACACCCAGTGACGATTATCCCCTAGGTCGACTTGGCCTCAAACGAGTACCCGGTGCGGTGTGTAGTAAACATCGCCACTGGGGAGACAAAGACGGCCGGGGAGCGGCGATGGCCACCCACCCCCTCGTGCCACAGTGCCAGGCCTCCATAGGCACTGCTCACCAACAACAGCACCCAGGCCCCGACAGCTCGCGACGCATCCCCCGCTCACCTGGTGAGGTGGCACTGAGCTCACCTGGTGAGGCGCCCTGAGCTCACCAGGTGAGGCGGCACTGAGCTCACCTGGTGAGGCGGCCCTGAGCTCACCTGGTGAGGCGGCCCTGAGCTCACCTGGTGAGGCGGCCCTGAGCTCACCTGGTGAGGCGGCCCTGAGCTCACCTGGTGAGGCGGCCCTGAGCTCACCTGGTGAGGCGGCACTGAGCTCACCTGGTGAGGCGGCCCTGAGCTCACCTGGTGAGGCGGCCCTGAGCTCACCTGGTGAGGCGGCCCTGAGCTCACCAGGTGAGGCGGCCCTGAGCTCACCAGGTGAGGCGGCCCTGAGCTCACCTGGTGAGGCGGCCCTGAGCTCACCAGGTGAGGCGGCCCTGAGCTCACCTGGTGAGGCGGCCCTGAGCTCACCAGGTGAGGCGGCACTGAGCTCACCTGGTGAGGCGGCCCTGAGCTCACCTGGTGAGGCGGCCCTGAGCTCACCTGGTGAGGCGGCCCTGAGCTCACCTGGTGAGGCGCCCCTGAGCTCACCTGGTGAGGCCGCCCTGAGCTCACCAGGTGAGGCGGCCCTGAGCTCACCTGGTGAGGCCCCCTGAGCTCACCTGGTGAGGCGGCCCTGAGCTCACCTGGTGAGGCGGCCCTGAGCTCACCTGGTGAGGCGGCAGGCTGTCGCCGTGGAGATCGTGTGGGGCCCCGAGCTCTCGCTCATGCCGTACAGCTCGAGCACGGCCATGTCGAGGCTGAGGAAGAACTCGAGGGTCTCCCGCGAGGCCGGCGCCGCGCCCACATAGAGCCGCCCGCAGCGCCCCAGCCCCAGCGCCGCGCGCACCCTGCGGAACACCAGCGCGCTCGCCAGCCCGTAGCCCCAAGGCGACGAGCCCTCGCTGGCGGGCGAGCGGGGGGGGGGGGGGACAATGGGGGGGGGAGGGCAGGGTGGGCAATGATGTCAGAGTCAGACGCTCGGGTTCGTTAATTAAGTTAATCCTCTCCATCGCCTGCGGCACACGAGGCCGCAATGAGCTCCCTCCGCTTCTTCCTCTCCTTGGCAACTTGTTGAGCCCCCAACAGAGGCCGATCGCCGCCGCCAGCTCGCCCTTCACGGTCTCGCGCCAGGCCGGCTTGGGTCTTCCCAGCTTTACTTTTGCCCTAAGGTGGTGTCCGCCTTCGGGCAATTTTCGGTTAACGGTTGGACGCTTTAGGGGGCGGTTGTAATCGGTTTCGTTTCGGCGTTGCCGGGGGGTCGGCCGCCCCCGCGGCGCCCGCCAAAGGAGCCGCCGCTTGACGTCGTGGCTGCGTGAAGGACCGCCGTCTCGTTCGCCGCGCGCATTGCCGGCTCTTCAATTGTTGAGTTCACAACTTATTTTTTTGTCGTTGCCGAATTCGCTAAAAAAAATATGTAAAACGGCTCTCCCTTTGTTACTTCGCTTGCCCGGACCTCCTGGGCATTACCCATCGCGCGAGTTAAGAGACGGGAATGAACCGGTTCAAACCAGTGGAAAACGGTTCAGACTGGTTCAACCATGTTTCAAACATGTGTAGAGGAGCATTCTGAGGAACCAATGAAGGGGCGAGCAGAGGGAGGTGGGAGCGGGTTGCCAATCAAGAATGACGTCACGTCACGGGTTACGGAACGGGCTTTGGAGAGCACCTTCGGGAACACGGGCGGAGCCGAGCTGGGGGGGGAGGAGCCGAGCTGGGGGGGAGGAGCCGAGCTGGGGGGGGAGGAGCCGAGCTGGGGGGGGAGGAGCCGAGCTGGGGGGGAGGAGCCGCCCAAAGGGTTCTTAAGGGGGCCCCGTGACGGAGGCGTGGTCGTCGTAGGGAGCCAGGGTAAGGATCTGCTGCAGACGGTCTCTCTCTCTCTCTCCTCAGCACGGAGCGGTGTTGGCTGAACCCCCGCTCCGGGCAGACGAGTGAGAGAGCCCATAGGGTAGCCGATGGGAGGACCCAAATAGTATTCTGTGTCCGGGGTGAAGGACCGAGATAGATTGCACCTACACTGGTATGAGCGTACGATGTCGAGTGTGACAGTGTTTTATTAAATGGCAACAGCCCTTATAGAATTCCTGGTCTCCGCGTGGATCCGCTGCATTACACATATACAAACATGTTCAAGCCGGTTCAAGCCGGTTCAAGCCGGTTCAAATCGGTTTTCCCCTCCAATATTAATATCCACTGGCCGTGCTGCACGTGGACTTGAACCCGGCAACAAGTGCAGGCAGCAGCCAGCGTTGGTGGATCGCGAGAATACGCCGCTTAAACTCCCTTCTGCCCGTGGGTGGGTTGTGAGAGGAGCCGTAACCCCTGGCTATGCCAGGAGGTGGTACAGCAAAGTGTGTGGACTAATCTCCATCTGTTCCACACTCCCTTCCCGTGGGCGTCGAGGAGGTGCCAGACCTCTCCCCGCCAGGAGAAGGTGACACACAGACACACAACACAGGCAAAGATCCCCCGTGTAGCCTTAACAGACTGTTGGGGCAAATGCTGTTGGCGAGCAGCACCTATGAAGGCGGGAACAGCACATGAGGGGGTGGGTTGCCAACACCACGCCCGACCGCCTTTGTCTCCCTTATGACGATGTTTAAACATCACACTAGGTACCTAATAGAGTATCGAATATCTGAATCGGTCATGGGAGGCCCATGACCGATTCAGATATTCGCCATTGGTGTTAGTGGCCTGTGTGCTGGAATCCAACTCGGGATCTCCAGGTTAGTAGCGCAACGTCCAGAACCACGACACCGCTGTTCCCCACAAAGACAAAGATCCCCCGTATAGCCTGTAACAGACTGTTGGTATAGTTTCTGTTGGCGAGCACCTGTGAAGGCCGGCACGGCACATGAAGAGGTGGATGGCCAGCACCACGCCCGACCACCTCTGCCTCCCCAGTGGCGATGTTTTTTTTACACACCGCACCAGGTACTCATTTGAGGCTGAATCGACCTAGGGGAGGCCCAGGATCGGTTCAGCTATTCGTCAATGGAATCGTCCTCCGGGTTCGTAAGCGCAGCGTGGCAGCTAACCGTTACAGACTCGCGCTCGCGCGCACACACTCGCGCTCTCTCACCCCTTCATGGCGTTGCGGTTGGCCTCCAGGCCGATGCCGCGGGCCCAGGCGGAGATGGCGCGCCTGACGACTCCGGCCTGCGCCCCCGTGGCGCGCATCGCCTCCATCATCTTCTCCCAGACGCGCGGCACGCCCAGGAACACCGTGGGCTGCACCTCCTTCAGCGTGGCCACCAGCGAGCCCTGTCGCCCGGGACGCACCAAAGACAAAGATCCCCCGCGTAGCCTTACGGACCCGTAGGGGCGAGTGCTGTTAGCGAGCGGCACCTACGAAGGCCGGCACGGCACACGAGGGGGTGGGTGGCCAGCACCACGCCCGGCCGCCTTTGTCGCCCCCAGTGGCGATGTTTTACACAACGCACCGTGTACTCATTTGAGGCCGAGTCGACCTAGGGCAAGGGCAGGACCGGTTCAGACAATCGTCACCGATTGTTGGTTGCGAGCGGCAATCGACCTGGGGTCGCCGGGTTCATAGCTCGGTGCGCTAACCGCAGGGTGGGGGGGTGGGTGGGTGTGGGTGGGTGTGGGGGGGGTGTGGGGGTAGGTGGGTTGGTGTGGGTGGGTGTTTGTCGGTGGATGGGTGGATGGGTGGGTGGATGGGTGGATGGGTGGGTGGGTGTGGGGGGGTGTGGGGGTAGGTGGGGGTAGGTGGGTTGGTGTGGGTGGGTGTTTGTCGGTGGATGGGTGGGTGGGTGAGTGGGTGGATGGGTGGGTGGGTGGATGGGTGGGTGGGTGAGTGGGTGGATGGGTGGGTGGATGGATGGGTGGGTGGATGGGTGAGTGGGTGGATGAGTGGGTGGGAGACGAACCTTGAGCGCGTCAGGCTGTGCGAAGTAGACGGCGCCACCCTGCTGCATGGGCACCCACAGGTCCAGCATCTGTGCCGCCACGTGGCTCAGCGGCAGGTAGCTCACCGTGACGTCGTCCGGCGTGAAGCCCGTCATTTCGCTCGCCACGCGCGACGTCCACGTGAGCTGCGATACACAAACGGGGGCAGCGGTGGGGGGCAGGAGGCGATAAACAGACGATCGCGCGTGGGCGCGGTGTCACTGTGGCTAGGAGATGTTAACTACCTCGCCTGGTACACAGGAGGTCGTAGGTTCGATCCCGACCCTGATGCCTGCTGCTGTATATTTGGAGTTTGCGTGTCTCTCTCCCTCCAGTGCCTAACCCCTACAAACTCCTCCTCCCCCCCCCCTCCCGTGCCTATATAAAGCCACAACAGCAGATAATTTTTCTCCCCTGAAGACGGCCGCTTGTGTTGCGACCGAAACGTGTTTTATTTTATTATTTTTTCAATCTACGTGACTTTACTGAAAGAACCAGAGAGTATGGATTCCTGCAGTCATGAAATCTTCAAATCAAGATTGAGGTCAGGTAGCTTTCACAAAGTGTTATACAGCTGATGAAAAGAGAATGCCACTCGACTGATTGGGAGTGAGATTTCGGCTACCAAACAAGAGCTGGACATAACAAAGACACACGCACACAGGCGCAAGTGTTCTCACACATGCACACGCGGTTACAGGCCAACAAAGACAAACACACAAAGACAAAAATCCCCCGCATAGCCTTAGCAGACTACTGGGGCAATTGCACCTATGAGGGACGGCAGGGCACACGAGGGGGTAGATGACCAGCACCACGCCCGGCCGCCTTTGTCTCCCTAGTGGGGATGTTTTTACATAATGCGCACAGGTAATCATTTCAGGCCGAGTCAACCTAGGGGAGGCCCAGATAATCATCGCTCGTGATGACCGCGAGCGAGAATTTAACTCGAATGGCTGCTACGCCACCATTCCCCACACACACACACACACATGCGCGCAGACACACAAGCACGCACGCACAACAACCGCCATTCGCCACTAAGTGGCGGTGACGTCACCACGACGCTTGTGCCAGGCTATGTGCACCTTGAGGCCGAGTGAAGTGTCGAACACCCGCTGGCAGGAGGTCACGGGGGAGACCCAGATGCCACAGGTCGACTGACTGAGATGACTGGCTGATGCACCACCTGTGCTCGCTACTGTGCCAACTTTCTGTGCTTTAGCCACCCAGCGCTCCGCTCGTTGTTGTGAGCATCGCTCCTCCAACCTCCGTTGTTGTTGGAGGGCGACTGCCTCCAACTGCCCAGTAGCGTCCTTCACAAGCCTCCTCCACAGAGGCCGATCTTGACACCGCTGGTACCAGTCATCGGCAAGTCCACTCAGCTCCACATCCTCCTGTACCACATCACTCCATCTCTTCTCTAGCCCGTGCCGCGTCTGTTTAGCTCCCTCAATCCGGCCGAACAAAAGCTGTTTAGGCATGCGGTGGATGGGCATGCGGGCTACATGACCCAGAGGAGCTCACCGATGGGACCTTGCCCAGATCTTTCAAGGATTTGTGAGCACCTCACACAATCCAGCCTGGTTAAACCCAGGAAAGATCGTAGGCAGGCCAGCCTAAATGTTTCTAACCGGCGAATATGTTCCATTAGGGGGGTCCACGTTTCGGAAGCGTAAAGAAGGGAGGGAATGACTGTGGCCGAGAAGACCTGAAGCTTAATGCGGAGCGACAGACCAGGTAGCTTCCACACAGCGTTACGCAACCGATGAAAAGATATTGCCGCTCGACTGATTCGGAGTGAGACCTCTGCTGTCAAACCGGAGCCGGTCATGAGCATACTGCCTAGGTATGGGAAACTCTCCACTCTCTCCACAACTGCCCTATCACCAATTGCGAGTTGTGGGGGTGTAGTGTCTGATGGTACAAAATACCCAGGCAGGTGCTTAGTTTTGGTGGGGCTGATGGTAAGGCCCGATCTCTTAGTGGCACGCTCTAGTCTCAGCAGCAGCGTTTCCAACTCCTCCTCTGAATGAGCAGCTTTTACCAAATCATCAGCATACATAACATGGTTGAGCAATAGGGAGCCATCCCTTGACCGCACCCGGGCATCAATCAGCCTCCCATTATATCTGTACCAAATGGAGATTCCCCCGGACCATCTATTAAAGGCTTCACGAACTACGTGGTCAAAATAGATGTTAAATAATGTGGGAGCCAGAGGACATCCCTGTCGCACCCCAAGGTGTACAGGGAATGGCTCTGACTCCCTGCCACATAGTTTTACCCGGGCCCGCTCACCTCACACGCACACACACGCACGCACATGCACACACACGCACACACACGCCCACACACGCAGACACACGCACACACAAGCCCACACAAGCCCACACACAAGCCCACACGCACACACACGCACGCACGCACACGCATGCATGCACACGCCCACACACGCACGCGCATACGTTGTCGTGGCTCAGCATGACCCCCTTGGGAGGCCCCGTGGTGCCCGATGTGAAGATGAGCGAGCAGCACTGGTTCGCACGCTGCTCCGCAATCACCGCGTCCAGCCGCTCGTCCGACACCTCGTCCCCCAGCTTCATGAAGTCCAGCCACTGGGGGGTGTGGGGAAGTGGGGGGGGGGGGCAAAGGTCAAGAGGAGGGTTCAAGGTCAAGAGGCCAATGCGGCTGTTCCATGTTGCCACCAACAATCTGCGAATGGCAGGTAGCAGGCAACAGGCAACAGGCAGGTAGCAGGTACAGTGAGGGAAAAAATTATTTGATCCCCTGCTGATTTTGTACGTTTGCCCACTGACAAAAAATGATCAGTCTACAATTTTAATGGTAGGTTTATTTGAACAGTGAGAGACAGAATAACAACAACAAAATCCAGAAAAACGCATGTCAACATTTTTATAAATTGATTTGCATTTTAATGAGGGAAATAAGTATTTGACCCCCTCTCAATCAGAAAGATTTCTGGCTCCCAGGTGTCTTTTATACATGTAACAAGCTGAGATTAGGAGCACTCCCTTTAAGAGTGTGCCCCTAATCTTAGCTCGTTACCTGTATAAAATACACCTGTCCACAGAAGCAATCAATCAGATTCCAAACTCTCCACCATGGCCAAGACCAAAGAGCTCTCCAAGGATGTCAGGGACAAGATTGTAGACCTACACAAGGCTGGAATGGGCTACAAGACCATTGCCAAGCAGCTTGGTGAGAAGGTGACAACAAATGGGAGAAACACAAAAAACTGTCAATCTCCCTGTCAATCTCCCTCGTGGAGTTGCAATGATCATGAGAACGGTAAGGAATCAGCCCAGAACTACACGGGAGGATCTTGTCAATGATCTCAAGGCAGCTGGGACCATAGTCAGCAAGAAAACAAATGGTAACACACTACGCCGTGAAGGATTGAAATCCTGCAGCGCCCGCAAGGTCCCTCTACTCAAGAAAGCACATTTACATGCCAGTCTGAAGTTTGCCAATGAACATCTGAATGATTCAGAGGACAACTGGGTGAAAGTTTTGTGGTCAGATGAGACCAAAATGGAGCTCTTTGGCACCAACTCAACTCGCCGTGTTTGGAGGAGGAGGAATGCTGCCTATGACCCCAAGAACACCATCCCCACCATCAAACATGGAGGTGGAAACATTATGCTATGGGGGTGTTTTTCTGCTAAGGGGACATGACAACTTCACCGCATCAAAGGGACGATGGACGGGGCCATGTACCGTCAAATCTTTGGTGAGAACCTCCTTCCCTCAGCCAGGGCATTGAAAATGGGTCGTGGATGGGTATTCCAGCATGACAATGACCCAAAACACACGGCCAAGGCAACAAAGGAGTGGCTCAAGAAGAAGCACATTAAGGTCCTGGAGTGGCCTAGCCAGTCTCCAGACCTTAATCCCATATAAAATCTGTGGAGGGAGCTGAAGGTTCGAGTTGCCAAACGTCAGCCTCGAAACCTTAATGACTTGGAGAAGATCTGCAAAGAGGAGTGGGACAAAATCCCTCCTGAGATGTGTGCAAACCTGGTGGCCAACCACAAGAAAAGTCTGAGCTCTGTGATTGCCAAAAAGGGTTTTGCCACCAAGTACTAAGTCATGTTTTGCAGAGGGGTCAAATACTTATTTCCCTCATTAAAATGCAAATCAATTTATAACATTTTTGACATGCGTTTTTCTGGATGTTTTTGTTGTTATTCTGTCTCTCACTGTTCAAATAAACCTACCATTAAAATTATAGACTGATCATTTCTTTGTCAGTGGGCAAACGTACAAAATCAGCAGGGGATCAAATACTTTTTTCCCTCACTGTAGCAGGCAGCAGAGAGCAGGCAGGTAACAGTCAGGGAGCAGGGAGCAGGTAGCAGGCAAGCAGCAGACATGCAGGCAGGCTCTTATCTTATGTAGATTTATAAAGCAGCGACTTTATCCAAGGCACTTTACAACAATCATAAAATTGTACATGAGATGAGAGTGTTTGAGATAGAGAGTGGAGA